GAAGGAGCCTGAGTGACAGTGAAGACTGGCCCGGACATGACTGAAGCAGAAAAAAGAAAAACACAGGCATCTGGAATGGTGGAGTACATTGAGTCGGTGCTGTTGCACCATGTGAATACTGGTGACAGACTGGACTGGTCTATTACTGTACATAATGTGCTGTGGGCCGACTGTTTGAGCGAGAACTTTGTATGTTCTTATCACTCCCTGCTGCACCTGTTCTGAGCCTCAACTGACACTAGCCTGGGTAAAGATAAAGCCGAGAGGGGAGGGGGGATGGGGGGAGGAAAGAAGGGGGTAAATTGTAATGTAAGAATCATGTGCTTATATCCCTTGGAGCCTAAACTGTATGTGCGTGAGCATAAACTCGTTTGATAAAATCTCTCTCTCTCTCTCTCTCTCTCTCTCCTACTATATCTTTAAACACACACAGACACTACCAGCAGGTGATATATGTATTGGGACTAACAGCAATTCAGTGGCGGCAGTATGACTTACTGATCTGGAACCTCTTTTAAGCAGCCGGCCCGAGTCAAAGGCGTGTTCACATGACAAACCAGTAAAATCAACATATTAAGATTTGCATATAGTGCTATTGTTGTTGCACTCAAGCAAGTTGTCAGGATTGCATTTATTTGCCAATAATTACCAATAATTGTCCTTCTCTCTCTCTCTCTCTCTCTCTGTATATATACATATATATACTTTTTATATACATTTATATACATATATGGATCTGAGGTCTGTGTGTGTAAAAAGGTAAATTAAAGCGAGAACACAAATGGACTGGACACACACATGAAATGCCCATATGTGAATAAAGGTGAGCACGTGTGGCCGCCACAGTCCCAGCCTTTACCAGAGGAACAGTTTATGAGCGAGTTAAGCAAAGTTCACGGTGTGAGTTTCAATAATCTAAAAAATTGTTTTATCTTCTAAATCATAGAATGAAATTAAACTGATTAAAAGACTGGTCATTAGAATGAGAACTTTATATATTTTTTTTTTCCACAGCAAAACCACCAGCCACATGTCTGACAGGGACTGATACAATGACTGTAGATTTAAACTGCCTGGGGAGGGATTTACCTGAATGTAACACAGGTGTTACAATGTCAGGTGGCAAAAAACATTTATCACTGTAGGCAAACATTTTAACCATCGTCATGCAGCCTGCCTTTATCAATATGTTAAAATCAGATGCTCTCGCTGTGTTGTGGCCTGAAATCCAGGGTTACGTCAGAGTGGTGAAAGGCAGCACTCTGAAACTCACTGAAGGAAGAATGGTGGCAGATCTGAGGCTGAGCGGTCTGTCCTTTGAGCTGCTCAAGATTAGGAATTGATGTCAGACTTGAAAAAGAACATCTCTTTATGTTTTTGCTGCATCTTTCTCATGATTCTTCATTCAAAACATGCATCTTTAGAACTGTGTTTTCAGGCACAAGGACAAGGACAAGGACACAACTAAGACAGAGGTGCTCGTCAAATACATGGGATCCACGTGGCCTTCCATCCTCGGTTCTAACTGTAGATAAATATCAGCCTCGCTCAGTAATGATCTATGTGCAAATATGACCACAATAGACAGTGTATGTTTGAGTCTGGGTCTGGTCACATGACGGGGAGATGTGTGTACATATTTGTCCTTTTGGACTAAGCGTGTGCATGTGCGTGCAGTTTTCATCTGTGAGTGTGTGCTCTGAAAGAGCATAGATTTGTGTGTGTGTGTGTGTGTTTGTGAGAATGTGATGAAGAAAGCAATTCCCCTGATAGACAAGACAGATGGTCAGGGAGGAGCTCAGCTTCGTCTCTGTGCCACCTGAGAAGCACCAGGGCAGATACTGTACGTGAGTCACATCTCCCTCTGGACAGAAGTCGATTTATTTGGATTCCAAAACTTCTTGTGTTCCAAACTTCTGATGCCAGCTGCTGCACGACACAACAATACCAAGAGAGTGAGACACTGTACAATGTGAATACTGTATTGAGATTCTATTTTAGGTATAACACCATCTCAATCATGAATCTTCACAAGTACCAGATTCCTCAGCTCTGGCTGTTTCCCTGATCTGCTCATTCCTCAGCCTGTCCATCCTGATCCCAGAGAAAAACCAAAACCAAATTCTCAGGAAATTTAATGTTGTCACCTCTAGCTCTGCCCTTTGTTTTGCTAAACAGTGCTACTGTCTTTGAACCTTCAACCTTTGCTTTCTACCTATTTGTCAAATGTCTCCTCTGACACTCACCTCCGCCCACTCCGACCTGCTTACCCACTATTGTTCTCGCCTTTTGTGAATTATGCTCCGGGAGTTTGAGTGCAGGAATTCAGACTCATCTGGCAGCATGACAATCTGTATGAGAAGCTTATCAACTTTCACACTCTGTTTATAGACACAGTTACAGTTCTTTCAACTTTTGTTTCTTAAAAAAAAAGAAACTGCTCCCCAGAGCTTGAAGAAATGTTTTCATGCTGACTTTGTGCTCAGAGGAGAACATCCTTTTCAACCTTGCATGTAAAAACACCACACCTTCCTGCTTCACGGTGGGTACACTGTGTTCACAGAAAGTATTCAAAGACACCGTGTACAGGATCATGAGTTAACATGCAAAGTATTGTATGCAAAGGCGTGACTTGTCAGACAGGCACAGCATGTCACGTATGGATATGACTGTGTGTGACTTGAACACAGAGCGAGATAACACCCGATATGTTATCACAGAGAGAAGGGGGGCCGGGGGAGGGAGGGAGAGGGGGGCACTGCTGACAGAACCCTGAATGGATACTGGAAAATGAAGATGATGGATGTGTCACACTCATTTCACCCAATCAGAGGTTATATTTCAGTCACACAATCCAACATCAGCCAACCCACATCAGACACCGATGCAGGACAATCTGATTTCAGAAAGAACTGTTTTTGTTCAAAGGAGGTTGACTTTATAGAGATATACCTTTTACATCCACCAGAAACACTTGTTTTCTCTTTCTGTCAGGTTCTGTCAACGTCAGTACATCCAGCTGCTGACGCAGCGTTCCAGCAACACCTGTGTCTTCATCTAGGCTGAACGCACATACAAACTCCCAAGGTCCTTAGCAGCCAGTGGCACAGCGGTAATGATCCTGTCTGTGCAGCTCGTCTCCACCCTTCATGTCCGTCTCCAATGGTATAAAAAGTCATGAACACATCATTCTCTTGAGCAACAGCGAGAAAGCTCTGTAATTTATTAATCTGAAAACAGTTCAACAGTTTTTTGTTTAACATGATCTACTGTTGTGCTCAAAATTATTTCAATTAATAATTAATAATTGATTATTCTACATTTCCAGTTAATTCTGGAGATGTTTTTGTTTCTCTATAAATTACCATAGTGAGCTTAACTTGAAGAGGAACTTTGTTGAACATGGAATTGACCTACAATCAATACGGTAGCTACACAGAAACGTATTCAGGTCTGTGTACTGATCATATAGCTCTGCCCACAGCATCCATAAATAAAACTGATATTACTGACATTTTTAGGTGCTGCACACACTATATTCAGAACTAATATACAGATCCTTTCCAAAAAATTAGAATATCGTGAAAAAGTTGTTTAATTTCCATAATTCCATTCAGAAAGTTAAACTTTCATATATTCATAGATTCATGGGCCACAATTTAATCAATTTCAGGTATTTATTTGTTTATTTTTTACATAATTTTGGCTTCCAGCTCATAAAACCCACAAAAACAGGATTTCAATAAATTAGAATACTGTGAAGAAATCATCAGGGCATGAATGTTTTAAACTGAGTGTCACACACCAATCATCTACTAAACTCAAAGCACCTGCACAGGTTTCCCCAGGTGTTATTTAATTGCTTTGGTTTGGTTCAATTGTCTCAGTTCGGTTCAATATGGGGAAGACTGCAGACATGACAACTGCCCAGGAGACCATCATTGATACCCTCCATAGGATGGGTAAACCTCAAAAGTTTATAGCTAAGGAGGCTGGCTGTTCACAGAGTGCTGTGTCCAAGCATATCAATGGAAAGTCTAGTGGAAGGGAAAAATGTGGCAGGAGAAGATGCACTAGCAAAAGAGATGACCGTGGGCTTCAGCGGATTCTCAAACAGAGAAGATTCAAGAATCTGGCAGAGATCCAGAAAGAGTGGACTGAGGCAGGAGTCACAGCTTCAAAAACCACCACATTCAGACGAATCCGGGAGATGGGCTACAGCTGTCGGGTTCCTCGGGTCAAGAACCTGCCAAATGAATTGTATTTCTGCTGTTTTCATTTCTCCTAGCTTTTAGAAATACACCCCTAGTTTAAATTAGATTAGATTAGATTTTTTTTGTTCTTTCAGAGATGGCTGCCAAGTGACGTACCCCTGTGGACCTTGAGCTTATAAGGACTCCTCCTCAAGAGGAGTGCTGACTGTTGCAACTCATGCACTGTAAACTGTGCAATCCAACACTGGCGGGCAGCCAGGAGATGTAAAGGAAACTGGCACAGAAACCTAAGTGTGACACCAGGCTGAGTCCAAGTCCAGTGTGCTGATTAACTGTCTGTCAGCACAGTGGGATTTTTTATCTTCTTATCCTTCTCAGTATTTGGATGCTAATCAATTCTTTGATCAATTTCTAATTTACTGTACAGTACAGATGGGAACAAAGGAGTGGGGAGGTGTCAGAGGTGTACTGAGCTTTACATACAGTCTGTGTCACATTCACAATACACACCCCCTCCCCTTTCACCCTCAACAAAATCTGATCTCTGCACCTGTGGAAATGAGACACTGTGTTCCAGCATAGAAAAATAAAACCAACCCCCTCCCCTCCAGTCTATTGACCCGGTGACACTAGTGAGATATTAGTGTACACTGTACCTTAAACTCACATCCCTCTGATGCAGCTTATGCAAAAGAGACTTCCACTTCCCATTGACGCAGCATCACAGTTAATTAGGAACACAAAGATGCACATGGTTCATCACATCTCCACAAACACACGTCTCACCTCGGTCGACAGGTGTCCTTACGTCAGTGCTGTTACTGTGCTTCTGATCCACGCTGTCATCACACAGGTTTGAGGGAACTCTGCCAGCAGAACAAAAACAGATCTGTCAACACTTCTCCAGATGACCACAAGAGAAAAAAAACAATCACCTGGCAAAAACAAATGTACAGCACCAGGAGCTAGCAGCTTATGACCTAATCCACCGAGACACGCATTAGGCCAAAATTCTACAGGTAGCCACAACTTTAGCACAGGGAAATCCACACAGCCAGTGAGGCATGTGCAGTACTGCCAAGTCAGGGATGACGTGGGAGGAGTCTGAAGAGTTCATCAGAGGAAAATCCCTGAGGGAGGTGTGCAGTTTCCCCGTCGATGCACAGATTTTCATGTGACCAGCTTAACACTAAAGGGCTTAGAATTCCTAATCCCTCAGTCAAACCAAGGGACTAACTTATGGTGTTGGTTGGACAGAGCAATCACAAGAGGAACACACTGTAAGGTACACTTCTAGACAGTATCAGTACTGGAATCAACTGAGTATACACTTCATCATCGTCACACTATTAACTACTGTCATAAAAAGGCAGGCCCGAGACAATATTATCTTTGACTTAGCTGGCCAAGGTAAATACTATTATCACTAATACTCAGAATTACATTACCTATTAACTATTAATATCACAATAGTTGCAAGCATATACAACCAGTACTACCTTTTTTAAATATAATATAAATTTAAGGTAAAGCTAAAAATCCAGAAGTTGGTTCTGCTGAAACCTCCAAACTGTAGTCCATACTTTTCGTTTCTACACCTCGACCAAAATGTTTGAATGAAACAAATTCATAGTCTCTGGTTGGTGTCATTATCTAAAGAACACCTACGAGAACTGGTGACATTTGTTATCAGATTCTGTCTCAGAACTGACACCGACTCATGTGTCAGTGTGGGTGGACAGAAATTCTTCAGGTGATGCATTTTCTGAATTTCACAATGGACATGTTTGACATTGGAGTTGGAAGCATGGCAGCAGAAGAAGAATGAACCTGCTTGTTTCTGGCTCTTTGAACAAAACACTGTATTCTAGTGAATAGTACTGTCTGATACAGGCTTCACTGTCTATGTTGTCAACTACAGTCAAAACATCAATGAGATAAATACTTCTGACTTGCTGCATGACTGAGCAGTGACATCCAGAGTAAATGTAGGTGTCACGATCTACATTTTAAGAAACACGGCTACACACGCTTGCTCCACATGACGTAACTTAGCATCTTCACTGACGTAGATCGATTACTTTGACAGTTCCACCTTGTTGAATGTGTTATGGAAACTACCGGTCATTTGCATGAACACAAGTCAAACAAATGTGCAGAGTAAAGACGTCACCGCGAGGGTTGCTGTGAAAACAAGAAGTAAGCTGACCAGCTGTGTCAAAACAAGATGCTGGTATGCAAAAAAAAAAAGAAAAAAAAGAAAAAAAAATCATTAACACCAATGTGGTCTGCTTGAGAAAAGCCTAAAACAAACAAAAATAAAAAAATAAAGGCAAAAGGCTGAAGATACGAGCTGAAAGTCCAAATCCGAATGCCACAAACACCAGCAGAGCACAGCTGTTGTAACTCAGACTTTAAATGACATTATATAAGATATAAAGCCTGTACATTTAAAATAATGCTGATGAAACCTCAGAAGAAATAAACAGTGAATGCCCGCAGTCTTTTTCAAGAAACAGAAGCTGTTAGGTACGACTACAATCGATACTACAACCTCTGCAGCATTGCAACTAAAATGTACACTTGTTCAATGTGCAGTTAGTCACTTGGAGAGTTACAGCACTGGGCACTGCTGCTGAGCCTTTTCCGCAGCTCAAGCACCAAAAAAAGTTCTCAGGTGAGTGTTCTCTTCTGCAGGCGCAACTATTGGTTTGTTTCCAGCATCAGCTACACTGGTTTTGCTCTCTATGCATCTGATTCAAGGGCTAATCCATATTCTAAGGCAGCTCTCAGCCGCTGAATGAGGGATGAATATGCATCAGTACAGGCAGAGCAGATAAGAGGGCCTCAGGGGCAAGGCCAACCCTGAGAACACTCACAGCCACTTGTCCTTAGCTTCATGGAATGTGCAACATGGAATGTGTGGGGATGTATTTTCAAACAAGGTACATATAAAAGGGCTTAAGTCTTAAAAGATTTTATTCTTTTTTAGCACAATATTTATAGTTGTCTTAATGCCATTTTGCAGACAGTACGAGTACATTCATTGAGATAATCACCCCATACTCACTTCTTTAGGTTTGGAGTCAAAAGCAGTGTGGGTGTCAAAGGTCTGTGGGTTACAGCAGACACTGCAGACGGCATGCAGTGTTTGTGTGAGGACCAAAAAATAGGTTGATCTGAAGGCATTTGGAAAAACATCTCTGTTTTAAAAAATCAGGTAAAAATCAGGTAAACAAATCATTTGTAAACCAAGGAACTGATTAGACCCACAACAATATGATTCAGTTGGATGGTTTCACTTTTCCTCTCCTCAAAAAAAAGAAAAATGCAGACACTGCAGACGGCATGCAGTGTTTGTGTGAGGAGCAAAAAATAGGTTGATCTGAAGGCATTTGGAAAAACATCTCTGTTTTAAAAAATCAGGTAAAAATCAGGTAAACAAATCATTTGTAAACCAAGGAACTGATTAGACCCACAACAATATGATTCAGTTGGATGGTTTCACTTTTCCTCTCCTCAAAAAAAAGAAAAATGAAATAAATAAATAAATAGTGGTCTTGCCGTGGGGACTGTTAATGGTGAATAAATTGTGCCTGCTGTCTGCCTCTGAGAGCTGCTGTCATCCCAACAACTGGGACTCTCAAACAGACGTGATCTAAGTGCTACTTCATGCCAGAGAGAGACCTCAAACAGGAAATGTAGTCAGATCACTCCCACTTTGCCAAACCAGGCACTGAATCAGATCCATCTGTTTACATATTATGCAGATCACCCTGAGCTGATCAACAATAAATCATATGAGGATGTGGGAGCTTCATCTCAAATCAGCTAACAATCAACCACGACCCATTAACATCACTCATGTCAGAGGTGCCATCCAGAAGACTCAGCATTTCCATTTCAGAAGTCCTGCTGACATCCAGGTCCAAATAGATTTATGGAACTTGTCCTCCTGCTGCGCTCTCCCAGTGTCTTGCAGGGTTTTTACAGCTTTATCATTTTTCACCCAGAATTTCACCCTTGTCTTTTACATCTATGAACAATAGTCTGTTTACCTACTTTAACGGCCTGTTTTTTAAAATAGACTCCGAGCAGCTTTCACCAACTACCACTCAAACAAACAAGTGCTGTAACTGAGCCATTGTGGAGATTGATCAACTGGACCCCGTCCAAATTAAAGGCCGTCCTCTGCCTGCATGCCAAGCATAATAACTCTCTCCTCTCTTTGCACGTATCCTTGGCCAGAGGGAGAAGAGGGGGAAACAACAAGCATAAGCAGAAGGGAAAGTAAGTAAAGAAGGAGCAGTTAAAAGAAAGGGTGTACAATTGGATAACACATCGCCGCCCTTCTGGAGGAAAAGGAATGCCTGGCATTCATATACGTGACCCAATTTCCTTCCTTCCTTCGATCTATGGTAAGAAAGCTCTGTCACTCAGTTTGACTAATTCATACACACACATGTGTATATAGTATATGTACTGTGACACTATGATACACATATATACTATATACCTATAGACACACGTGTACATATGTATATTGGTGTGTTTCTATATGTATTATATTTATATGTGATATATTTATATGTAACCCCGCTAGGATATATGTGCCTGCGTGTATGCCTCCATTTAGATGTGTGTATTTATTTCCTTTTTTAAGGCTGTGTGAGAAGCATTCATGGCATTGATATTTTTATGTTGAGTATCAAAGTGTCCTTATACAATGACTAGAGGGGTACTGAGGTACTCTCAAAGTATCTTTGATACAGTGACAAAAGAGTTTTTAAATTGCTATGACAATAAAGAATCTCTTTCTAAAAATCCACTCAAAAATCTCTTTCCTCTTCATTTGGTAGACTAGTATTCTTATTTATCTCTTTCATAAATTTCCTTCTTTTTTCAATAAAGGAGCCCCCCAGTTCCCACCCCAACATCTCTCCCTTGTTTCCTGGTGCTGGGAGGGAGACTGATGCCAAAGATATTAAACCACAATAACTGTGCTGCTGCTTTCTAGACATAAGGGTGAAGCTGGATAAAAAAAGAAAAAGAAAACTCAATAGGGACGAAGAGTTGATCCTGATAAAATACAAGTCTGGAAACATGCAATAATTAAAGTGAGGATGAGGTTTCTGGAAGGCACTTCCAGTCTTTAAACCTACATTCAGTATTGTATACTGACCTGAGCTGAGATTCAACTTTATATAATCTATAATGGCCGTAGTCTCTGTTGGCTATTCTGGGGAATGTGCTTCTGTGTGTTGAATAAACATGATGAGAAGCCTGTGTTCCATTGGTGAATTGTTCAATAATCAGTTACACTGGCTGTAAAAACACTGCCACCCATCTTCAAATACTGATTTTACTACTCAAACATGGCGAGGAATTCATTTTTACCCAAAATAAAAAGGTTTGAACAAATACTTCTTTTGAATACTGCAAGCATTTCACCTTTACAGTATCTAGACTGTATATAACAGCTTCTGAGGGAGGGGTAGTGTAAAATAAAACGGTATGGGTAACTAATATTACTACCAATGTGCAGTCATTAATCAGAGACATATGGCTTGCCTCAGGAAATAATGGAGATACATTTGCGATACATCTTTCAAGCACTACAGATGGTATGGACTCTAAATTAGAATTACAGTGGAGCTGTCTGGGAGCACAGGGGCAGAATAGACAGTCTGCAGAAAAACAAGGGCAAGGACTCCAGTGGGCAGAGGAGAACAGAGGTTATTTTCGGTCAAATAATACCCATGTGACATAAGGGTCTCCCGACATACTCGTGCTTAGCAGATTAAACCACACAGACATACACACACACTGGAATAACAAGAGAAAGCAATGGACTGTGAATGATGTA